TATTTTTTGACCACCTTGTGTATGGGCATACTGTTATACAGTAATGTGTGTGTGTAGATGTACTGTTTAGAGCAGTGGTCAGCAACTAAATTTCACAGGGGGCCAGGTGGCAGAATGCTGCACGCTCACAAGCCAACACCCATCAAGTGTCATTAAAATGAAAATTTGATTGAACGTCTACTGTCAGACTGTAATGTCTGATACCCAGGTCTTCACAGCTCAAAGGGAGGGCTACTGCGGGCTGGATCTGGCCTGCTGGCCGCTAGTTGCCGACCACTGGTTTAGAGGGTTGATATGAGAATTTGGAAAAGAAAATACATGTACTCATCAGCTTAATCTGAAAGTATGGAGAGGGTGGATTGGAGGTAGGAGATGGAAATAAAAAAATAATTCTCTGTGTAAAATATGGAATAGGAAATAAAATCATCTCATATTTTAAAGAAGATATGGATATTTTGCAAATTTTTACTTCATGCTTCATTCAAGACACTTTTTGATTTTTTAAGAATTAATTTCTAAGGTGCTACATTCCAAGCAAGATACTGAGAATTTATAAATTGTCGGGGAAATGTTTTCTCCTTAATTGTTGAAAAAAACTTTTCAACTTCTGTCTTTTTTCCTTACCATGCAGACTTCCAACTGGGTTGCTGGGGTTGACATGGAATCTGTTTTGAATGAAATGGAAAGTTACTTACCACCACCTCCTTCGTGTTCTCAATCGATGTCAAGTGAAGGCAGTGAAACCAGCTCTAGCCCCTGTAGGTTTGAAGTTATTCGATTCCCATGAAGAAAGAATTAAAGCATACCTGTCTTTCATCAGCATGTATTGCAGCAACAGCAGCTGAAGGTAGAGCTGAAGCACGACTCATTATAGATGCCCAGATCAAGCAAGAACAGGAGGATGTTGATGGGATGTGTTCAGTTGAAGACATCCCAATGTCTCCTCCAATCTCAGAGATTCCCACCCTCCCATCAGATTTCAGACCACAGCCCATGCACAGGAAAGCTGCAAAGCATGTGAGTCATCTCCCCGATGTTACATTTGAGAATGAAATGCTTTTTAGTTATTTTTTGCTCGGAACAGTGAGGCTGATTTGTAAGTTGCCATCTGAATTTTTATGGTTCATGTAGGACCTAGAGTATGAAAGAATTGAGTGAGAAGTATAAAGTGCAATAATCCCAGTTGAAAACATTTTTAGAAAAATTAATATATTTTTTTAAGTTTCATTTTTACTGATATATAACCATTGTAAATGCCACAAAAATGCATTTCTTGTGGCAGTTATATATATATCTCACTTAGTCTTGATTGACTCCCACCCTGATTAGCAAGTGACCTGAGAAAGATTTGACATGGCTACCTGTATCTCCATTTGGACTGCTGGTTGGAAGATCCTAATCACTTCTTCAAATATTCTTTGATTTTAGTATGTCCCGAAGGAGCAGAAGGATGACAAATATTGGGCAAAGAGGGCGAAAAACAATCTTGCTGCAAAGAAGTCTCGAGATACAAGGAGAATAAAGGAAAATCACATCATTCTCAGGGCTTCCTTCCTTGAGGAAGAGGTGAGTTCTTCCATTCATGAATGTACTGAAAAATAGAAAACATTATCTCTGATGGCTAGG